TGGCGTCCGCTAGCGTCTGCGGCAGGCTCCTGCGGGGCCGAGAGAGGCGCGGGCGAGCAGGGAGGGAGGCAGGCGGGCGAGGAGGGCGGCGGTCGGGCGGCGGGGGGAGCCTGGGCAGCGGCTGGGGAGAGGGCGCAGGAACGCGCCTGGTGCCTGACGAGCAAGGGGCTGCTGGCAGGACCCAGGGGGAACTGCTCCCTGGTCGGGGCCTGCCACCAACACCACCACCACCACCACCACCACCTCCTCCCACCACAGCCCCACACGCACGCGCCCAGCCCCGGCCCGCCCCACAGCCAGCAGCCGCGCTCACTTGCACGAGTGCACCGGCAGCAGCTCCATGGCGCCGGCACTGGCCTTGGACACCGCGGCAGACAGCGGCGCCGAGTTGCGGTGGCACGTCAGCACACCGGCCACACCCAGGAAGTGAGCCGAGCGCAGCGCGGCGCCAAAGTTTTGCTGCGCGCGGGCAGGGGGAGGGGCAGGCGCGCGGCGGGGGAGGTCAGCGAGGCGTCGAGGGGCAGGCTGGGAAGCCAGAGGCAGGCTGGGGAGCCAGGGGGCCCCGGCAGGGCCCCGGCAGGGGCCACGGCGCGGCCTTCCGTGGCAGCCGAGCGGAGGAGCCGGGAGCCGCAGCTGCTGCCTTCTTCACTGCCTTCTTCATGCCTCTCAGGCTCCCCCAAACGCGACCGAGGGACGCCCCGGTTGACGAAAACAGGAGGTCCGCCGCCGCCCCCAGCCACTCACCGGGTCCATCACCTCATCCAGGCACAGCCAGACCGGCAGGCGGCCGCCCGGCGGCGGCGCGGCGGGCGCCGCCGGCAGCTCGCTCATCGGCTCAAACTCGAGCGGCGAGCAGTCCAGCACCACGCCCTGCGCCGGTGGGGGCCGGTAAAGGGAAAAGGTAAAGGTGGGAGAATAACCTCCACAGGCCTAGCTTCCCCATGTGAGGGCAGGGGAGAGCGCGTGGATCGCGGGGGCAGCGCGTGTGTGTGTGGTGGGGAGCAGGGCGGGCAGGAGGGCTGCGTGCGGGGCAGCCGCCTGCGGGGCCAGCACCCGGTGCTGCTGGTGCTGCTGGCTGGTGGTGCTGGTGCTGGCTGGTGCTGGTGCTGCTGGTGCTGCTGGATGCTGCTGGTGCTGCTGGATGCTGCTGGTGCTGGCTGCCTGCCTGCCGCGCCCATGCGACCCACTTGCCTTGCCGCACACACCACCACCCGCCCGGCCACGCCCGCGCTGCGCACCCAAAGCCAGTACACCGAAAGCGCTGCCCGCCTGGCGGGGGCGGCTGCCTGCCTCTGCCACCAACACCGCCACCGCCGCCCCGCTCCCTCTCGCTCTCTCCCACCCCGCCCCACCTGCCCATGCCACCACCGCCTCCCCTCTCTCTCGTTCCCTCTCCCTCTCCCTCCCTGCCTCCCTCCCTCCCTCTCCCTCTGCCCACCTGGTGCGGGCGGTTGTCTGCCACCATGTTTAGGTCGTGCTTAGAGGCGTACAGCACGCGCGCACCCAGCTCCTCGGCGCGCTGCTTGGCCGCCTGGATGGCGCCCTTGTCCTGCGGGCGGTACCGGGGTAGTACCAGGGCGATGCAGGTCAGTAACAGGGCGGGCTGGTGCGTGTTGCTGGCGCTGTGTGTGTGTTGCGGTTGTGCCGGCTGTGTGAGCATGTGGTTCGTGGTGTGCGGCCATGCCCCGGCGCTGCCGTGCCGCCAACAAACAGCCCTGCCGCGGCCGCCCCTGCCTGCCACAGGGGTGTACCGCCCTACCACCGCCCAACACGCCACCCACGCCGCCCACACCACCATCACACACCTTGCGCTTTGCGAGATCCATGCCTTCTTGCAGGTACAGCGTGTGTACCGCTCGTCGTCCCGCCTGCAGCGCCGCCAGTACCGGGGACACGCCGTAGAGCACGTCGCCCACCCAGAACTGGCGCAGGCCGCCGGGGCCCCCCTCCTCCTCCTCCTCCTCCTCTCCTCCTCCCTTGCCCTCCCTGCGCCCCTCGCCGCCGCGCCAGCTGTCGCCGCGGCGGGGCCGGTCGCCGCGCCAGTCGCGGCCGCCGCCGCCGCCGCCGCGCTGCTGGCGCGACTCCTGCCACCGCTCGCCTGGGGCGCCGCCGGAGCGTTCCGCTCGCTCCTGCTCCCGCTCGCCGCCGCCCCAGCGGCCCTCCCTGTCACCCCAGGCGGACCCGCCATCCCTGCCGCCCCTGCCGCGCACGCCCACGCCGCTCTCTCTGTGCCCCCGCCACTCGCCTCTGCCGCCGCCGCCGCCGCCGTCCCGCTCCCGCCACTCGCCCCTGCCGCCGCCTCTGCCGCCGCCGCCGTCACGGCGCTCCCGCCACTCGCCCCTGCCGCTCTCGCTACGGTCCTGTCCCTCTCGCTTCTCGCCCCTGCCACCACCATCCCGGCGCTCCCGCCACTCGCCGCTGCTGCTGCCGCCGCGCCGGCTGGGCGCGGCATCGCCGCCGCTGTCAGCATCCAGCCAGCCGCTGCTGCCCTGGCCGCCAGGCTGGCCGCTGCCGACGTCCCACTCGTCGCCCCAGATGCTGGTCTGCTGGCGCTGTGGGGCGCGGCCCTCGCTGCCGACGTCCTCGCGCCTGCCGCCGCCGCCGCCACGCCGCCCGTTGGCTCTGCTGCTGGCGGCGCGGTCCCAGCGCTGCCACTCCGCCACCACAAGGCCGCCGCGAAGTTGCCGGCAGGCTGCAGCCACACGAAACGGGAAAGTGAGACCAAGCCGGAGGGCGTGCACAGCGGGAAGGAAGCACCGGCCGTTCTGCGCACCTTTAACCAGCTTATCGGAGCTACCGCATGTTAGGAAACGTGAGCCTCGCTGCAGCAGGCGCGCATGCATTGCAAACGCCATGACGATCAAGCTGAGGGGTTCTTTGGAGGTTCTCTGCTAGTGTTCGTTATACATGCATCCGAGTGGAGCGTGATAGCAACATGCATGCGAGATGCCCAAGCCTGCCCCATCATCCTCCGCCGCCGCCGCCAGAGTGGCGGCGGCGAACTGCACGAACTCTGGCGGCGGCGAACCACCTCTAACTCGCCGACCCCAGATTGCCTCTCCATTGTGCAGCTGGTCAGGTGCGCTTGCAGAGATGCCACCCCTCAGCTTGAGTCTGCTGATTGCACAGCCTGCCGCCCGTCGCCTCTCCACGCCATGCATCTGCCTGCCATCGAGCGCTGCCCTTGTGTGTAGTTGGGTGTATACTGTTGGATTGCATCAATCGTTTTGTGAAGGAATTGGTTGGAAGAGATTGGTAAAGGCAGAGATCAGGGAAAGGACGGTTGGGAAGGAGGGGTTATTGCTGGCAAGTGTTGTGCGACATGACGCAGGACCGAGGCGCCAGGGCAGCATAAGCAGCAATAGACAAGTGGGCAACAGGGAAAAAGCAATAAAATACACTGACTATCACTCGGGTGGATTGAATGACCATCAAAGAGAGGTGAAGGGCCGAGTGGTGGAGGCCCCCACAGGCAAAACTGAGCAAGTTCTTGACTTGGCTATGGAAGCCGCTATGTGCGGTTGGCTGGCGGCAGAGGCCTGCTGCCAGCTCACGCCGCCAGGAGGGACGCCGCTCACTTGCTGGTGGGCAGGTTCTTGGTGTTGTCCCAGCACAGCTTCTGGCCCGTCTTGCGGGCGGTCCACAGGCCGGTGCTGCACTTGGCGCACTTGTTCTGGCCGGGGGTGGCAGAGTAGGACTGCAGCAGGAGGGGAGCAGTGACAGCAGGCGGGGTGAGCAGGCGGCACTGGGAGAGGAGCGGAGCAGAGGGCAGGCAGGCCGGCCCCACAGCAGCAGGCAGGGAGGCGGGCAGGCAGGCTGTCGGCTCAAGTCACTCACGTTGATGGGGCAGGCGGCGCAGTCGTTGGGTGTGATGGAGGAGAACTTGACGCCAAACTTGCCGGCGGGGCAGGGGGTGGGGGTGACCATCTTGGTGGCCTGGCAGTAGCTGCCGGCGGGGCAGGGCTTGCAGGCGCGCTGGCCCTCGTTGTTCTGGTAGGTGCCCTTGGCGCACTCCTTGCACCACGGCTGCTTCATGTCGGCGTAGAAGCCGCGCGCGCACTTGGTGGGAGCCACGGAGCCGGCGGGGCACTGGTGGCCTGGGGGGCAAGGCTTGCAAGCGCCCTGGCCCTCCTCGTCCTGGTAGGTGCCGCCCTCGCAGGGGATGAAGCCGTCGTTGCCGGTGCCGGGGGCGTAGTTGCCCTTGGGGGCGGGCAGGCACGACTCCAGCTCGGTGCTGCCGGTCATCTCGGTGTAGGTGCCCACGGGGCAGTCCTTGCACTCCAGCTGGCCGGCCTCGTCCTGGTAGGTGCCGGGGCCGCAGATGTCGCAGGCGCTGTTGCCCTCGTCGGGCACGGCGTAGCCCTTGGGGCACTTCTTGCAGGCGCCGGAGAAGCCCTGCTTGTCGGCGTACTCGCCCGCGGCGCAGGCGGTGCAGTTGAGGTCCGAGGTGGTCAGCAGGGTGGAGCCGGGGATGCAGGCCGTGCAGGCGGCGGCGCCAGACGCCAGCTTGGTCTCGCGGCCCTTGGGGCACAGGGTGCAGGTGTTGGCGGCGTACATGGAGGGGCGGAAGCGGCGGGCGCCGCACTTGGTGCAGCTGCTGGCGCCGGTGCCGTCAGCCGCAGCGCCGCCGGTGGCATCGGTGATCTGGCCGGCGGGGCAGGCCTTGCACGCCTTCTGGCCGGGGTTGACGGCGAAGTAGGCCTTGGGGCAGGGGGTGCACAGCGCGGTGTTGGGGGTGGCCGAGAACTTGCCGGCGGCGCACTGGGTGCACACGGAGGCGCCGGCCTGGGTGGAGCCCGTCTCGTAGCCGGCGGGGCAGGAGCGGCACTTGTTGTCGGTGGCGCCGGTGGGCTTGAAGGTGCCGACCTTGCACAGGTTGCAGCTGGACGCGCCCTTGCCGTTCACGTTGATGGTGAACTGGCCGGGGCCGCAGTCAGTGCAGCTGGGGTTGGCGGCAGCGTCGGAATAGAAGCCGGCGGGGCAGTCGTTGCAGGTGTGGGAGCCGTCGCCCTTGGCAAAGGTGCCGGGGCCGCTGCGGCAGGGAAGGGGAGCAGGGGAGGATCTTCAGGAGTGGGTGAAGCAGGGTGGGAACATACACAGGCTGGCAGGCAGGCAAGCGGCAGGGGCAGGGCTGCC